ATTGTGGGGACCAGTTTTATCTAACTTTTCAAAAACAGTTCGTACTTGCACACTGTCATAAGGTGTCCCGTGGGGACCTCGTGCCTCCAAAATGTAGAGTGATAATTTATCAAGAAAGAAAATACTCACACCCAACATTGCACTTCCTTGTGTGTACAAGTTTTACCTAATTGTTCACACAGTTTCTACACAAACTCTGAACATAGAGTGATAAAACAATGATAAAATAGTGATTGATATGAATTTACCTCTTCAGGTGTGGTCTTTGGCCCAAAGGCACCATCCATCAGACTCTCTGAGTGGACAGGAGAGTCATCCTGCTCCATGGTGTKAACAGTGATGCTGGTTGTCTGTAAACAGATACGATAAAAGGTTTGGCTGGGGATGTCATTGTAAAAACATTGTTGAGATCCTTAATGAACCAAAGTTATTGCTTGCAGTCACTAAAGTGACAAACCTGTAATATCATAATCGCATCTATGCTAATGCAGTAGAATCAATGACATTTCCATTCATCCAATGGAAATTGAAAAGCTTGGACACTCTGCACTACTTCACATATAARTCAAAAGCACAGCTTCAGGCTGCTAGCAGAGGTTTGTAGACAACCCTGCTAGGATGCAGTGTTAATAAAGGATCATTCAGTTCAGTAACATAGTATCTATAATAATCTAAACTGACCTTCAATAGCTTCTTAAAACTTTTGTAAATTAGATTCCTGTTTGTAATTACATGTTCCTGTTATTTTCACGATAATAAGTGGTCACTCATGCATTGCAGCCTAAAGTCCAAACAAGTTGTATCAATCCTGGTCATGTATCGTGTACATGGTTATTACAAATATTAATACAGCCAAATTAGTTCCACATATTTCTCATTCTACTAAAATGTTGTGATACTTGACTCATTGTATTTACTGTGTTCTGTGCAACATACTTGTGTTYGCCATGGGCAGTCTTCACCTCCATAATCATAGGTGATTTCTTCTCCTTCTTTGATGTCATCCAGGGCAAATAAACAAAGGTGGGGTACTCCATTAACATCAATTTTTTTTCATTTTGGAGTTAGGACGTCTGTGTTCATCATTAACTAGTCGCCCAATTGAGCCATCTTCTCTGGAGGCATCAATACTTGAAAAATTGGAAAAGAAAAAATACAAATGTCTCAATATATCACGATAAAATCAGAGCCCCACTTAGTAGAACTTAGTATAGTATATGGAGTGTAGTTTAGGTATTCTTAAGTCTTACCACCATGTTTTCCCTCTCCACTTGAAGGCAAACATGAATGCAGCACATGAGGGGTGGTAAAGTTTTCTCCTTCTCTGGGATTCTGCATCATTTATCATATCCCCCCTATAYTGTACARCAAAGTCTCCTTTGCAAATTGTACCCTTYGCAAATATACCACGTCCTGTAAACAATAAAAACATTTTCAATAAAACAGGAAGATCCATTAATTATATTTGTTAACAATGAGTTTATGCTAATATATAATACAAAACAAACCAAACCTGACCACTGCAGCATTCTAGTCCATATGAAATGTACTCTGGAGCTTTTCTTTAGATTTTAAATGATAATTATTTATTGATAATTTACAGCAGATACCACCTCACCTTTTACTGCATTAATATACTGGACCTCTAATTTGCAGATTTTGTCAGTCTGTGAAATAACATGTTGAATTGCATCCTGAAAGGGGCTGATCCGTGGTGCCATTTCTGCAGGAAAAGATTTAAAAAAAATTAGTTTACTTGCTTAGTAAGATTGTGTGGTATTAAAAATTGTTGTTGTTGCCTAAATCCTCATGAGGGTTGTTTTTCTTGCAAAATTCCACTACAGAAACATTCTCCTTCACTCTCTGTCATGAGTAAAGTTTCTGCCTAAAGGGTAATGCATACTCTTGTGCGTTGTTGCATAAACTATACACACAAACAAACATATATGTACTGTATACATGTCTTGTGCATGTGTGAAAGGCAAACAGGGTCTATTCATTAAATTAAATATACTAAATATAACATAACAGGACTTATATTGATCTTAAGTTCATCATACCAAAATGACACTCAAAACTCAGAAATGCTGTTAGCTTTATAACTTGATGGCCTCCTTCAGTTAAAATAAACTCCTTCACATATGCATCATGCTTGCAAGTAATTAGAGAAATGCTGTAAAACATTTGAGGTCATACACTTAGCCTTTGTAGCTAATCAGAGCTATTAATCATGCTAGCTAGGTACAGGTAAGTAATGTTATTTGAGGGTTCAACACTGCTTATACTTATTTAAGACACACACACACACACACACACACACATAAATTACAGGTGAGATAAAATGTGTTTTCTCTCTTTCAGTTTTCACTACTGGCTGAAAAACTTGCACAAGAGCGACAGGATATCCAGGTTCGGAAAAAAGCTCAGGAAAAGGTAAACTTGAGAAAATATCACCTACTCTCTGCCTCTTAATCACAGGTTTAAATATCTGAACTTGCATGGACACGTGTTTGGGTTCGTTCAGACCTGAGCTTGTGATCGGATAAATCAGGACAGATGTTGATACCAGCTCTAACTGTCATCTTAACTCTCCCCTGTAAAGTTTGATGGGCACCACTTAACAGAAACACTCTATCCATTCATCCCACGTGATTGCAGGCCCTGCTGAAGATGAAGCGAGAGCTGCGTACCAGGATGGAGCGCGAGATTGGCGAACTGCAGAAAATAATCATCCAGAATGACGAGGACGACTACTTCCAGGACCTGGATGTCCAGCGGCTGCGCAATCGCGTCCACATGGCTTCGTTCCAGTACAACAAGAGTTATCTGCACTGATCAGGGAGCAGGACCATCGCCAGACTCCATCAATTAAGGCTGGATTTTTATCATATAAAAAAGTTGCGTCACATCTAAGGGTACGACATATCGATGACTTAAATGAACCCTCTTCTCAGGCGTCTTCCTTTGTAGATGAGAAGAGACTATCCTGATTATTGATTGATGAACTGAACACGCTAACTAAACGTAGCTACTAGCGAACTCTTCCTCTCACCTCAGCTGCTATACCTGAACTTGAAGACACCTTGGGCCAAGTCCCTTTCTCTTCCATGGTTTTAATACTTGGTAACTAAGAATGTTTTAAAGTGGTTCCCTCACTGTGTGTGTGTGTGTGTGCGTGTGCGCGCGTGCTGTTACTGTAGCAGAAAATTAGTAAACCTGTTCTTCCTCTTGCCAAATAGGAACCACCAATGCAAAGTTAGTATGAATGTCACCGACAAAATTTTTAACTTCCTCTCGTTTTACCTTGTGCGATGTCTTCCTTTAATATTTTAACCATGCCAGCGGATTATTTATTTTTTACCTTTAATGTTTCTGTAATTTTTTAATGGATCCTGGTGTTGTGCTTTCTGATCACCAGGGGGCGATGATAATCAATGTTTGATGAGCTCTGTTGAGATTCATGACCGTGATGTTAACACACTGTCCTCTCATGACTGTGCATAGATCTAATGAGCACGTGTCCTGTGTTCCCTCATTAAACATGTGGGCTCCCTCATCCTCTCAGGCTGCCTTCTGTCAGTTTTTTTTTTTTTTTTTACAGAGGGTGCATGTTGTTATTTTAGTATTTTATTGAAGTTTCATCATTTTAAAATCCATTTGACCAAAAAGTATCAAAACATGGGAATTTTATATCTGATGGTGTAAAAAAACCAAAGCAAAATTTTGAATAACAAGGAGAAAAACAAAATCACTGTAGATTCACACATGTACTGACTGTTCCTGATAGAGGGAGTTCCTTTAAGAACATGTATGGAGAACAGAAAAAAAAACAGATTTTGGTTGACTGACTGAAAAATAAAAGCCTAAAACACGTCCTATTTACACCTGATACTAATGTGTCATGTGTATCTAATAACATTATCTGGATTAAGATCCTCAGACCTTTGCATTGACTCCTGGTTCTAAAAGTGGTTTTCCTGCAGTTTGGCAACTTGTCAACAACGTGAACATTTCAAGTTAAATCCAGATGTAAAGGGATCTTGAGTTTGAACCATTAACATTAAATGAGTGTTTCTTTCTTCATTTTTCAATATTGCTTGTTCAAGCAGCTTGATGACGACTGAAGAAACAAATCAACGCGGCCAAAAAAGAAAAGCGAACAAGTGGATCCATCTTTGCTGTTGTGTTTAACTGTCAGAATCACATTCTCCAGTGGAGGGCAACGTGTGGCATTAACAGACCATACTAGAAAAGGCATTATCTCCTCCTAGTTTGCATCAGATGGTTCTTTAAACGTGTGATGGCATCTGTAAATAATTAATGGCGAGAGAATGTGAAGACGTTCCAGAGAAACGCAGCATAATACCCAGAAGTCCAGCTGAATCCAGAGTTAAAACAGGAAATCATCTGGAACGTGTTGCTCATTCCTGACACATCACCTCCTCGGAGACGGAGGTGATGTGTCTGCCTGTTCGTGGGCTGTGTCGTTACCATTGATCTGCCAATCACTATCGTCTTTGTTGTCGTCGTCCTCATCTTCATCATGTTTCTCATCATCGTCTGGCAGGTTAGTCCATTCAAAGCTGCTCCGACAGAAACTACAATCCTGGAAAACGACCAGCTTCAGTCCTTTAACATATTTAGTAACTTTACATTGTCTGCTGCATTCCCGACACGACCTGAACAGCTGGAGGATGCAGGCTTCATCCACGATGAACTCCGAGGGGCTGTGAGAGAAAAGATGCAACAGTCAGTCACAGGAGAGGTGAGCGCCCTCGTTTCAGTCTGTTCTATAGAGTGTGACAGTGACCGCCCACTTGTAGAATAGCTCCCATGAAAGAGTTTTATGTCTGAAAGCAGTTCAACCAGCTGCGAGAAGAATCGGGACCATAGACCATTTGATTCAGAAGAAAGAACATTTGCAGCATATAACATCACTCACTATCTCGTAGCTTCTGGAAAAGAAAATGTTTTTGGTTTTTTTACGTCTGAGTAAATGCTGTTGTGCTCTTTATATTATTAGCATTACATCATCGTACCTCCCTAAGTCCACCAGGTAACGTCCGTCTCCCACACTTAAAGAGGTGCTGAATTCTTCATCCTCATCTTCTTCCATATCTGTGGATCCATTTCAAACAGACATTAGTGATGACGTCGCTCTGTGAACAAACCGATCTTCAGATTGTTTTTCTGGAGTTTTAGGAACGTGACATCGACTCACCGTCATTTTCTGACGTCTGCTCATCTTGACTGCCCGCTCTTTCACCAGCAGCACCTTCTTTCACTCGCTCCTTAAAACGGGACGAATAACAGAAATCCATCAGCACGGATCAGTAGAAACAGGCAACAGCACTGGATCGATTAAATCATACTGGAAAGATACCAAATATAACATGCAAACGAGAAAGTGAATGAAGGAGATCATCAACACAGGTGGAAAATCAATCTTTTTAACTTCCACTCAAATGGAAACAATCTGGTTTTATAAACAGGCTGAAAGCAGCAGCTCACTTCCGAGCTGCTTCAGAAACTCGATGATGACTGATCAGTGTGTAATGTTTTCAGATAGAAACTATAACATGGTGAGACATCAACCGTGAAGTGGTGCAGACAAGACAAGCTGCTAAAACAAGCTAAAATGATGGGAGGACATTCTTTGTATGATACAAACAACAGTGTGTATATTGTATCGCTTTAAATTAACTTAATTAAAAAGCAGGAGTTGTAATTCTCCCATTCTCACATTATTAAAGCAAACTAACTTGTGCTACAAAGAGACACTGTCAAGCTTTTTTCTTGTTATAACGTGAAATGTTTCATGTTTCAGTCACGTTTACCTTTGCATTTCCAGACGACTGAAAAGAAGGAGCAGCGAGAGTCCCCCACTCAGCTTCAAGTTGTGAATTCATGAGTGGGTGTTCATAATCCATACTATCACAATCACTGCACAAACACACAAAGAAGCATCGATTACCTGCACGTCAGTGTATTTGAGAAATGATTTATAAAATTCATTCATTCAAGTGCACCCAAACTTTTCACTTAAAGCACTGCAAGAATATGATGTCAGACTCTTTAGAAGCAGAATTGTCTGTGGCAGAGACGATGTTTGCTTCTGAACCCAACTCTTTGTCACTGAGCAGATTTGCACAAACAAGCTTTGACACACTAAGGAAACGGGGAAAAACCTGATATCACAGCCTGTGCATTCAAATACATTATGAAAACAATTGTAAGCAGAAATAAAAAGATGCAAATAAAGATTTATAAGAGAAATTTAATCCACACATTCATAGATCTATGCACACATTTGTAGATGTTTCTGTAGAAATCTCACGACACGTTTTAGACTGTTACAAATCTGATAATGCACAAATACATTGAGAAACAGCAACACAGCTCTCCACACACATACTACTACAATATTGGCCCCAAACCTTTCACTAACATATTCCAAACAACTGACCACTGACCCCAATCAGGTCCTGATGACATGTGACCTTAGTCCCCATGACCTGAGCAACAGATGAGGGGATGGACAAACAGACACGCAGCGTAAAGACATTATGACTGTTACCTTCGTTCAAGGCCCTGAGCTTCTGTGGCTTCTGTTTTGACATTCAGATGTTCACCTCTGTAAAGAAGAACCAGAGCGTGTTCTAGAACACATGGAGATGCAACTGCACACAAAACATCCATCACCTAGTTGGTAGTGAAACATGTTAGCACAATGTGAGACTTGCCTGTACATCCAACTCGAAGCACCGAGGCCACACACAGCTGGAGCTGTGACCTGAACCGGTTTCTCATTCATGTGAGTCAGTGGTGCAAGATCTCTCTCATAGCTGGAGAAACAAGAGCAACATCAAGAAGATTACAGCTCCATGACACAATCACAGCTTCATCACATCAAGTGAGGTCCTGAGAGGCTGGGAGAATTTCAACCAGACAGCTACAAGCATGATCCTGGACATGGATCGATAACCTGGAATATCTACTGTTATGAATACATACTATCAGTTTCATAAAGGCCTGAAGGTCTTATTCCTTCTGATTTGGTCACAAAGTACAAATTAGACCAGTCAATGATACAAACATAAACATTAAAGACATTGGCGGATTGGTGCGTATCCATTAATGGTGACTGTCCACGCACAAACACAATGTGTTTGCTATTTAACACGTGAATGATCAGATTACACCTGCAGCTTTAATGAACATATAGAAAAAAACTGTTCTCAATTCTGGACCAACTGCAAGATAAAAATATTTTGGGGAGCGCTCACTCTGACGAGAGAAATGTCTTAGAGAGATATTAGACCTGTATTAAAAATATTTTCACCTTGTCAACACAGAAGATATATAATATATATAATGATCATTTTAATGGATGTTTGTGGGCTTTCATTTCCTGTGATAAGGAGCAAGTGAATAATATGTCTCACTTTAAAAAGGCACTACTCAGTGATAATAATAATAATAATAAGAAGATTGATTTTATTAGAATCAATACATGTTCCACCTGGACTGTAAAATGTAAAGTGTCATGTTAAGTGTTTTTTCATTTCCGTTTGGTTTACTCATATTTTAGGTTTAAATTAAAAGCTATATCATTGTTTTGGAACAAAAATATAAACTTACATTTCTGATGGCACTTGTATATTTTTCAACATTGACATGAGGGAAGGAAACTATGCCCTCAGCCACAGCTAAATCTAGAAAACAACAAAATGAACTCTGGGCTCAATTACCTGTCCAGAAGATAAAAGGCAACGTCAGCATGGCTCTTAAAACATTTATCCCTCAGCAGCGATTTCCATTTGGGATAGGCAGCACCAAGAGTTATCCTCGATTTCTGGAGCCGCTTGAGCCGATTCAGTCTTGCCTCTTCGCGTTTTTCCTTCTTTGTGAGCAAGGGATCAGGCTCTTTGGGTTTTTCTTGTGCTAAACAATAATTGTGTTGAAACATCGTCAGCCAGCACCAGCAGCCACTGATTCCTCTTCTTCTTCAGTTTTACAATCCGTGCTATGGCGCCACCAAATTCAAGCGATCACTTCAGTGGCGCCGTGGAACAGGACACGCTCCTGTGTAGATATGAAGTTATATTATAACTTAATATAATATAACAACAACATGATGATTCGTTGTAACAGGAAACTAATGATTTCTACAAAGGTCCCCTAAATCCTACAGTGGTCATTTAATGCAGTCATCGGCTGCAGCATCAGGAAGTGGTTCAGTAACACTAAAAAGGTGAAGCGGTTTTCACACATGACCTCCAGAGGTTGTTGTTTCTCTGGAGGTTGCCTTTCGCACGTGAACATCGCAGTAGGAGATTCACAACATCACAGAAATCTCCCGAGCGTTCAGGTAAGGCGTGACGCAGCAGACAGAAGCAGGGTGTAACATTTACATTCTGCTGCGAGGCCACATGTATTTGTTTACAGTACATCATCAGCGTCATCCCTTGTCACCAAAAGCTCTCTAGATATGTTTGTCTGTGTCTTCTACACGTACAATGAAAGAAACATCATCCACACACCGATTCGCTCACTGTGAATCCTGCAGAGGATTTCCTGCTCTGTTCGCACATCCGCTCGTGTCGACGTTCTCCAGGGTAAATAAAGTCCGAAGCCTCTCACTATGACAAATGAGAAGCTCCGGACTTTCTGCAGAGTTTCTGTGGCCAGTGGATAAAAAACGATAAAAACCATGTGAGACCACAGCAGGAGATCCTCTGAGGGATTCAACTCAAGCAAGCAGGCGTGTTGATGACGTTTCTAACAGACACACAAAAAAGAATAGAAACATCTCCGGATGAAAAAGCAAAGCAATACACGCAGACGACCCCCACACAGTTGTCAAGAAAGCTTTTAATGATAACGGAAAGCGTCAATAGCGTAAGAGATTCCTGCAAAACCAGAACCGCAAATCTAGGACCCTGTGGTTTTTGTGACAGCGCCGCGTGATGTAACCAAGTTGGTTAACAATTCTGAAGTCCTAGACGAGACAACGCACAGAGTGTGCCTACTGGATGTGACTTCAGCTTTAATTGTATCACATGAAAAAATGGATAGTTTCTTAAAACGCTCAGCAGTGGGTTTGTAGCTAACCTAAGTGTGAGTCAACCAGTAAAACCCCCTATCCTTCCACTCTTAACCATAAAGAGCCTCCATGATGCACTCGCCAAACCCACCAAACTTAATTAAAACAAGAAGCAAATCAATCATTGTCAAACCCACATCATTCATGGTCTACCACAAGGAATTAAGGGTTTGTTTTGACAAAACTAGAACAGATTACTGTTGAAACTGGGGAGACACATCCCAGGATGGTCTCAGAATGTACGATGATCAAATCAGTTCTTTGTTGTTTGTTTGTGGACATGTTGTAAACAACATGTTGTTGTTTACAACATGTTGTTCTAACATGTTGCAAAGAACAACATGTGATCTCTGTAGCAGAATCATTGAGCTCCACCTCCTCTACCTGCTGCACCACCCCTCACCTCAAAACCCCGGAAATGTCTGTGTCCGGAGAAAGTTTGACTCAAAGCTGCGAGTGAGTGAACAGCAGCGTCACTCACCATGTGTCAGCCCTGCTCTGTCAGCTCCACCTGACTCACAGACACCTGCAGGAAGAAAACATCAAGTTCCTAAAAACACGAACAACAGCCTTGTGTGTCACATTAGCTCAGAAGCTAAGTCAGTAGTTAGCTAACACACCGGAACAATAAATCCGTCTCTGGCTTCGTTTTCACACCGGAACGTTTCTTCACTTGTTGATACTTGTTTCAATGTGACACCGACTTCTTCTCACCTCGTGGAAAGCTTCAGTCTCTGTCTCTTTCTTCCTCCAGCCTCAGTTTTCTCTTCCAGCGGCAGGCGCCATGTTTGTGAAGACGGCAGAGACGTCACTTCCGGGTGAACCAACTGGACACAAAATGAGCTGTGTTGCAGGAGGCCACTAGGGGGCGATGCAGGCACACTGGATACATATGAATTCAAAGAGTATAACTTCATCTCACTTCCTGGTTTGGTGTTATGGTTCTGACCTGGCTCACGTGTGCACTGCTTCATTATTAGTGACTGATCTAATGATGATGATGATGATGAGTCCATGAAATGATCACCAAGGTTAACAAACAATAATAATAAAGCGATTTCAGAGCAGTTAATTCAGACAGTAAAATCCTGCTCTAATAACCAAGATGAAAATACTGACCTGAATATAAGTGATTTACTTTTGATTCCCCGGTCATAGTCAGTTCTTCTAAGTTTAATGGTTTTATAGTTGTTGAGCTTGCATAATAATACTCATAATAATAATAATTATATTTACACAACACTATTCTAAACAAGGTGCTTCAGGCAGACATTTAAAATAAACCAAAGCAATATTTAGTCAAATTACTCCACAAGACAAAAACAATCAGACAAAAACACCCACATCTGACACTAGTTACTGTTTACTTTGTGTACTTCTTATACATGTGATTTGTTGTGACAATGAAGCAAAAGCTAATGATTAAAATGCACTTATATAAGTTCATTTTTCTGATGATACTTATTTACAAGGATTTTTGCTTGTAATGGAGTTTTATAACAGAAATATTTTATTAATCCCCATAAGGATGTGAGATGTAAGACTATGAATACATCTTCAAACCACCCATGTTTACACATGATTATATGTATCTTAAATTCACAGTCATTTAATATTTGAAGGTTCATACGTATATATGTTGACCATGTGTGAGTTGTCGCATTAACATGATATTTATTCCTATTGTTTATTTCAGTAAACAATTACACTATGAAAATCACATGAACGTTTCAGCAGTAAAAAAAAAAGACAGTGATAGATGTGTTTCTATAAAACGTAATGCTGTGAGGTCCAAACAGCATAGTTTTATTGCTCAGCTTTCTGCAAGGGTACAAGAAGTTTATTACATTGCTTCTTTATTGTCCTTATGTACAGGTGTCAGTTACAAGCTCACAGAGCAGCTGATGTGAAAAACTATGAACACATATACTGTCGTAATAAATACAAAAACAGAGAGAAGATCAAAGAAATAAAACATGGTGCAGTTAAAAAAAGGTTTGTTTTATACTGAATTCAATCCAAAGTCATTTTCACATACGCTGCACACACACAGATTAAACTGCACATTAAAGTAAATCTGTGCTAAAACTGTGGGGGGGGGGCTTGTTGTTTGTAACAAATTAAACATAACGACTCGTAATTGAGATCAGAAGATTAATCAGATCAGAAAAGACAAAAATGTATTTTTTTTATCAAAGATTGATCAATTTAACACTGATAATTTTGAATAGATTATGTGTGAATGTATAATTTGGCTGCTGGACTGAGGAGACGTGTGATTTCCCCTCGTCTAAGTTTTCAACCCCCACAATATTTTGCACTGCAGACTGAACCAGCCAGAAAACGTGGTGCCGACGTAAAGTAACAAAGAGCAGAAGAGAACTGTGTGCACTGGACAAACATACGTGTGTGTGTGTGTGTGTGGATATCAAGAACATGTGTGTATATATACACGTTATCTACAAAAAAGATCAATCAGTCCATTAACTATTTGGTGAATAGAAGGAAGTGTCTGATTATAACTTGGAGCCCAAATATGCATATTATGTGCAAAAGAACTAGTGATGCATTTCTTCTCTGCCTCTGAGGGAAGTTATTATTAAAGGTAAAAGTCTAAGAAATTCTCTGTTACTGTAAAAAAAAAAAAAAGACGATGATGTCACTGTATTGTTCTTGTTTTGTCTCACAATGACCACAAACAAATAAAAAGAAGGTTTTCTGAGTGCCGGCTGACAAACTGTTCACGGTTGCAAATAAATGCAGAATACATATTAAAAAAAAAAGATTTTACTGATTTTTCTGAGTCAACATATCTTCCAAGAGTAATAATTAAGTAAATAAATAGGCTTGAGCTCTCTAGCTTTAGTTCATGCAGAGGTTTTTTTTAAAGTTTGGCTCTGGTGATGGAGATTCTTCTCACTGTGGCCTCACGGGTTTTAACATTTTCACTGCGTCGCATCAGTGGGCAGATAACTGCCGACATCTGCAGCTCTGAGGATGCTAGGATGCCGAAGGCCTTCAGGCTGTTTCCTCGCCATTTCAAAATTCATGTGGCAAACAGACCCGTGCGTATGAAACAATGTGGTCGTCTGTGCTGTTTGGTATTTAATGGTGACACAGATGTCAGGAGCAGCAAATATGGCCTTTCTTGTTGTTCTCCTATGAAAGTGTGTGTGTGTGTGTGTGTGTGTGT